TACCCGATGCAAATTAATCAGTAAATTCCTAGCAGGTAAATACCTGCTAGCCAGAGGAGCTTTGTGTGACTTAGAAGTGACCTAACAGAAAATACTCATTGAAAAAAGACAATTATGGCATTTTATTACAGACTAGCAACAGCATGCTCTACGTCGCTTTTCATTCTTTTCCTGCTTTGCCACAATATGGAAAAAGATTCAGGGGACAAGAGAACATGGTGTGATTGTCTCTGTTGAAAAGGAATGCTAGGAAGGACAAATTAAACCATCCCTCTCATTAACTAAGAGCCTATCGAGAATGAATTGTAAGTTGCGGTAATGATAAAGGATAAAGACTAGAGGGAAGGTATATGCCTGGGCTTTTGATAACAAGCTGCTTTGAGCTCCTGTGTTCTAGTACTATGTACATAAGGATAGGGCTTCTGATTTAAGTTAAAAGATTCTAGATTGAATCAATTCAATTCTGGGTAAAGGTAAAATCAGACTAATCAGTGACTAGGAACACTTAAAACTAATTAATAAGATACCAAAATATATTTCTAATCAAACTATAAAATTTACATCATCTTTCAAATATAGTAGCTATTAATAAACAGTTCTAAATAGCTATTCAAGGGGCAGCTAGTTGGCACAGTGGATAGAACACCAGCCGTGAAGTCAGGAGGGACCTGAGTTCAAATCAGACCTCAGACCAAATACTTGACACTTACTAGCTGTGTGACCCTGGGCAAGTCACTTAACCCCGATTGCCTAAATTTTTTTTTTAATAGCTATTCAAATAATTACATGTATTTAAGAAAAGCCAAGGATAACTGAGTAAAAAGTCTACTATTCCCTACTATCAAACTTGAACATGAACTTAATCTTTCCTTTTTTATTCTTATAATATTCTGCCTTGTATGATACTTCCTTATGTACATGTTATATCCAATTAAAGAGCAATAATCACAATAGTCTATATTTATATAGTTCTGTACATACATTATCATGTTTGATTCTTGCAATCACCCTGTGACTTAGGTAATATGGATATTATTGCCCCCATTTTACAGATAAGAAGATAAAGACTTTGAAAGTTTACATGACTAGCCAGTGGTCCTGTTTGCCCTGACTCCAAGACTATTACTCTTCTACTATGCCATGGTGCCTCTGTAAGAGAGAGTGGAGTTGGGCTAGTTTTTGTCTTTGTATATCCAGAGTTAAAGCAGTGCCTTCCTTGCAAGGTAGGTGCTTAAGATAAATGTTAACCAAATTAAATTTCAATTAATTGAGGCCAATTACTCAAATGAGGAGGCCAAAATGAAGTAAATACTACCTGATTATTATTGAGAAATAAGTATTCCAATAATAAAATTAAATAACAAATAACAAAGTCTTAAAAACCCAAATCTATGATGTGACCAAAAAAAAAAAATTCCCAAAGGCAAGGAGCCTATTAGAATACATGAAGGACCTAAGGAGGATTCGAAGCAAGCTGGATTTTAAGTTTCTCATGTTCTTCCATTGGGTCATCAGATTAACAGAAGACTAAAAATAGCAATTCTTCAAGACCTGAGGACTTGAAACAAGAGTATTGCATGTATTTAAGTGTGACTCTGGCTGGGCAGAGAACATATCCTAATCCTATGCCTTTCTATTCTCCCAATATAAAGATTAAAACTCTACTCCCATCTTCACTTAACTCAGAAAGCACTTAATCCACCAAGAGAATAGTAAATTCAATTCAATTCATTTAGCAAACATAATTAGGTACGTACAGTTGGCAAGCTAGTGCCTTAGTGGGAAAATAATACACTGATGAAAGAAAGAAGAGGATAGTGAAGAGGAAAGGTAGCAAATAGGAAAAAAAGTCTTCCTCCCCTTCCACATTTACTCTACCTTTTGGCACTTTTAGGGTTAAGTGAGAAAGCTAAATGACTTTTTGTCATCAGGACCTCCCCTAAATTTAAATTTCCCATTTCTGGAACACACACACACACATACACACACACACACACAAAATAAATTGCCAATTGACCAGCCATCTCCTGTTCCCCATCCCAACTGCCAGCCTGCCATTTCCAATTTCAAATCTAGCTGTATTTTTAAAAAAAAAATATGTTGGGAAGAATGTTCTTATTTCTAAACCTTTGTTTTACAGTAACAAAGCTCCTCACCATAGTAGCTTATGAATTTGTTGGGGTTGACTCACCCCTGCATCTTCCCAAGGTAGACTTTTTCTTAAGTGAGTCAGTGTTTTTAATCTGTCGTAGTCTTAGACTATAAACTATAAAAGTTATAGCCATTTTGCCTTTAAATGTACCCAAAGGACAACATATAGTGAACACACATTATAAATATAATAAAAATAAAATGAAATAGTATACTGCTTACTGAATTTCAATAGCTCAAAGTAAACTTAAAATGAGACCAATATTTGCCATATATATGTATTTATATATATACACATACCTAAATATGTGTATATGCTAAAGTTCCTTGGTATTTTCTTATTTATTTATTTTTTATTTATTTATTTAAATTTTTTAGGTAATTGGGGTAAAGTAACATGCCCAGGGTCACACAGCTAGTAAGTGTCAAGTGTTTGGTCTGAGGCCTGATTCGAACTCAGGTCCTCCTGACTTCAGGGCTCGTGCTCTATCCACTGCACCACCTGGATGCCCGCCTTGGCATTTTCTACAAGAATAAAGAGTAGTGAAAATTTTTTTTTTAAAGAGGGTCACATATAATATCCAAGAACCTTTAAAAAATAAACACCTATATCTCTACTAAAGGAAATTAATGAAAAAATCATACATAATCACAGTCATGTAATTTAATAAGACCTTTCAATGTCACAGTTTGTTTTGTGTCTTCATATGTGATCTAACCAATATTGGATTCAAAAATATTTATCATATTTACAAAGTCTATGAGAACAAGAATGTCTACTTTTTCCTTTACAAATCCAGTGAGTGTTTAAGGGTTTTTGCTATTGGGAACTTAAAAAGAAACATAATTATTCACTATCTTGATAAATTTGCTTAAGAGTCAGAAATGATCACATTAATTACTAAAATAAATAAGCACTTGCAAGTTACTTAGGATTTTGAGATGGAAAGACTTAATTTTTCAACATAATTATTGAGTGCCAACCATATGCCAGGCATTATATGAGGTGCTAGAAAGATCATATATTTGAATTCTTGCATTTTATGAATGAGGAGATGGAGGCCTGGATGTGTATAGTTTCTCTTCCATGGTTACACACTGCTTTATGTAAACTAAGCTATTAGAATTGGATTCTAGGGAAGAAAAAGAAACTAAGATATGACTCAGTTCTTCTCCTTAATTCTAGAAATGCATCTAGTCCATCATCAAGTTAATGTTGTTAATGTTAATTAAATGTGAATTAAAATATTGTTAGTTAAAGTTAATGTCTAAAAACCAAACTCTTTAGAAGATGATTCCACAGATCCCCTGCATTCCCATTTTTCACAATAAGTGCAATTAAAAAAAATCCTTAATATTCAGACAAGTAGTAACTCCTCCTAGTTGGGTTTAAAATGGAGCCATGGATAATTAAAAAAAAATACATTTAGATTAACTTTGTTAGTTATTCAAAGAGCCTTACTGCTTTCTTATTTACTACTTACTTACACCTCAGAAATCACATAAACTCAAGTAGTTTTAAAGGCAAACATAATGGACTTAATCTGTATTTACATTTCTGACGGCCTACATGTCATTTTATGATAACTAATTAGAAACATGAGTATTTTTTCCAATTATATTTGTTTTCGTCATTTTATCCACTCTATCAAGATCAGAAGAGACAAAATTGATTAAATATAAGGCTGACAAATATCCAACTGGATAAACTGGAAAGAAAATTTGAGAAAGGAACCTAATAGAATCAGAATGGGAAAAAAGTTGAGGCTGTAAGTAAGATCTCTAAATGAATCTTACCATGAGCTGCTTGGGAAAATTAGAAGCAGTCAAAAAGAACCCAACTCAGTATGGTAATCACCTCCATAGTAAAGGAATATGAGGGAGGTGAACTTTTATTGTTTGTAATCAATTGAATTTTGATGTGTTTACAGTGGATATCAAAATATAAGCCTCTGACTTTAGATGAAAGGTCATCTGAGGTTAACATATAGTCAAGAAATGCACCAGAACAGAACCAGTCAAAAACACTTCTATCTAGTTTTGCAGAGTAGATCATCAATGTAAAGCTGGAAAGGATCTAAGAGGTCATCTAATCCAAAGACTCTTATTTTACAGATGAAGAAACTGAGGCCCAGAAAGGTCAAATGACTTACCTAGGTCACACAGGCAATAAATAGAAAATGTACAATTTGATCCTTGACTTGTTTGATTCTAAATTCCACCTTCTTTCTACTGCATCATGTTATTGTTAAGACTCATCTCACAGAATAAAACTGGGCTACTGTATCTAACACAAACATTTCACTGGGTCTTCCCAAAGCTTTACAAAAAAAATGCAGGTCAGTCTTTTAGTTATCATTATCAACCTAAGTATTTGGCAATTAGAAATTTAGCAACTTGAAATTGTCAAAAGTATCATCATTTTCTAGCCCAAGTAGTAATGATCCAACAAGCCTTGAAGTGAATAAAAATGACTTAATATATGCTTTTAAAAAACCTGAATGTATATGTAGAGCCTATATCAGATTGCACATCATCTTGGGGTGGGGGGAGGGGAAGAAGGGGGAGAAAATTTGGAACTCAAAATCTTATGGAAGTGAATGTTGAAAACTAAAAATAAATTAATTAATTAATATTTTAAAAACCCTGTAACTTTTGATACAGAAAGACCCTTTTAGTTGTAGGAAAATTTTTCTTTTCTTCACCCTCAATAAATGAATTGTGATTGGAAATAGTATGTAACATGAGTCTGTATGAATGAGAAAGGGAAGATCTACAACTCACTGCAATTCAATGCCAATAAGAGAAGTAGAGTCCTTTTTTATGTGTGAAGTTGTTTTACTCCTTACCTCTAGAGCTTTCAATCGTTCTAACAGAAACTTGGTCTTCTCTTTCCCCTCATCTGTACTGCTGCTTTCACTCCTTGAGTCCTCATCTACCACCATGTGTAGATCTTCCAAATTTTCTTTGTGCTTCCTTTCTTCCTCTGACAGTTTTTCCTAAAACAATAAAATCAACATTAAGTACTTGTTTTGTGACAAGTACTGCTAAGTTCTTAGGACTGAAAGAAAGGTAAAAACCTCCTTTAAGGAGCACATAGTCTAGTGGGGAAGATGTGCAAGCCAGATATGTACAGGGTAAAATGAAGGTGATCTTAGAAGAAATGCAATAGCCCTGGGGTAATGGGGGCAGAAAAGTTCTCTTGAGTATGGCTATATTTGGTGTGAGTACTGAAGGAAGCCAGGGAGACCAGGAGAAAGCGAGGAAGAGGGTGAGCATTATAGGAATGGAGGTCAGCAAGTGAGAAGGTAACCACTACTAAAATGGAGTGTCATATGGGAAGAATAGCAAGAAAGTCAGTGTTGTTAGATTACAGAGTATGTAAAAGGGACCAAAGTGTAAGAATATAGAAAGGTAGGGGGAGATCAGGTTGTGAAAGGTTTTAAAAGCAAACATAGGATTTTACATTTCATCCTTGAGGTATTAGGGGGCTACTGGAGTTTATTTAGTACTGAAGTAACAAAGTCAGACATGGGCTTTAGGAAGATCATTTTAATAGCTGAGGGGAGGATGTACTGGAGGAACAGAGGCTTGAGGGAGAGATTCCAACCAGAAAGATATTGTAATAGTCCAGCTGTGAGGTGATGAGAACCTATAGCAAGGTGGTGGCTGTCTCAGAGTAGTAAAGGGGATACATGGGAGAGATTTGAGAAGACAGAAACAGGATTTGGCAACATGTTAGATATGGGGGTGGTGGCAAGTGAGGGCAACTAAGGAGTCAAGATTTACAACCTAGCTTGAGAGCCTGAGTGATTAGAAGGATGGTGATACCCTATACAATAATAGGGAAGTTAGTAAATCAAGATCACGTTCCATAATCCCACAAAAAAGTGAACAAGAGCCCAGAAATAAAGTATATAATTTTGCAGCCGCCACATTATTTAGTCAACTAGAGGCCAGGTTTGACTGGAAACACTTTAAATGTCACTTACATTATTAGCAAACACAATAGGTAACCCATTTGATCCCCGTGACAGGGCAAGCTTGTGGGTCACCACCTTTTAATGCAGGTGTCTGCTCCCTAGCTGGAGAAGTGACTTGGTTAGCAAATGCCTCAGGTGGTGTCATGTAGTTAATCCACTTTTATCCACACGCTGGAGCTTACCCTTGAGCTGTGCACTAAACTGTAAAGGAAATAATAAAAAAAAAAAAAATCGGCACCAAAGCTTTGATTTTTGAACAGCCCAGCTCCTCAAAATGGGATCATTAAAGTCAGTGGACAACCAACCATTTAATTAATTTGTGGGAAAATGTAATATCATGAAAGATTGGGACTATGGTGATTTCAGGCTTCTGTGAAGTCTGAAACCAATTAGCTCCTTCAGCTCAGCAGAGTAGTTCTGAACCCTGCTTCCCACCTCCACTTTTGAGCTTTTTCAACACTCCAGCATTTCTAGTATAGCCCTGGGATGGCCATAAAATGTTGTTATTCAGTCTTCCATCTCTGCTGGGTGTTTCTTTCTCACCCCATCTCTGACAGCCCTCTGGAAGCTAAAGAGAGCTGCTAATTTCCAGAGGAAAGAGATATCCATTCTGGTATGACTTCTCATCCCTCTTGTACACACCCCAGGCCCTCTAGCTACAGGGCCTGAAGTTATTGCCAAATAGCCATATTAACATTATATCCCTTTTACAGACCACTTTAATGATTTCAAAGTGCTTTTCTCACAACAGCTCTGAGAGATAGCTGTGTAACTGCCCCTGTGCAAAAGTTTCCAGGTTCTCACTATACTTCAAAATTCTCCATTCTTCATTTTTTCAGCTGGACTGAAATATTACTAATCAAAGAAAAGGGAAAAGGACCTATTCGTACAAAAATATTTGTAAGAGCTCTTTTTATGGTGGCAAAGAATTGGACATTGAGAGCTAATCAATAGGGGAATGGCTGAACAAGTTGTGGTATATGACTGTGATAGAATACTATTGTGCTACAAGAAATGATGAGCAAGATGGTTTCAGAAAAACCTAAGAAGTCTTAAATGAACTGATGCAGATAAAGCAAACAGAACCAGGAGAAAATTGAACACAGTAATAGTGATATTGTAAGGATGATTAGCTGTGAAAGACTTAGCTACTTTGATCAAGAAAATGATCTAAGATGTAGGATGAAAACTGCTATCCACTTCCAGAGAGACAGAGAGAGAGAGATGTGACAAACTGCACACAGATTGAAGCATAATTTCTTCACTTTATTTTCTTATTTATTTATGTGTGTTTTCTTTTTGCAACGTGGCTAATATGGAAATATTTTGTATGACTTTACATGTATAATTGATACCACAGGAGGAAGGGAAAGAATATATAATTCAAAATTTAAAAAATGAAAGTTAAATTTTTTTAAAAAAAGTGTAACAGGGAAATACTTAACAAAATAAATAAAACATATATTTAAACCTCTGTGCAGAACTGGGGGAGAGAAGTACCAATGAGTAAGTAGATCATTGAGATTTTGCATATGTGGATTTTATATTCATTTAGGACTGAGCCAGAACTATAGGGCATAAATACTGTAGGAATCTTAGAATCACGGAAGGGTATCAGGTAGGAAAAAAAAAAAGATCCAAGTAAGGAAACTGAGGAGGAAGTATCATCACAGCATAAGGTAGAAACAGAATAGTGTAGTACCCTGCAAGGCAAATGAAGAAGAAAGAATCAAGAAAACATGCCAACTGCTACATAGAGGTCAAAGGGCATGAAGAGAAAAAAAATAAAATTTGGCAAGAAGCAAATTAATAATGACCTTCCAGAAAGCCATTTCAATGGAGTTAGTGATATGAATGGAAACCCAATTGCTAAGGAGTAAAGAGGAAAAAGGTAGAGAAAATAAAAGAAGTTCATTTTCAAAGCCTGGAAGTAAAAAGGAGATAATTACAAGGTAGTTAGAGAGGGCAGTAGGATCAAGTGAAGGTTTTTGTTTCCAAGAGAAAAGAAACATGCATATTTAAAATTAAAAGGAAAGGAGCAAGTATAGATCTTGGGATTGTAGATTTACAGCTAGGAGAATCTTGATTTCATTGAGTAAAACCCATTCATTTTATAGATGATCAAATTGAGACCCATGTAGGTTTAGTGACTTGGCTAGGAATTACTGGAGGTGGGATTCTACCCGAGGTCTTCCTGATTTCAAGTTGGAGTGTATTTCCATTATATTATACTACTGGCCAAATGGAAGGGGAATATGAAGGAGAACAGTCACCCAGGAATTGAGAAGGGAGAGACTCAAGAGCACAAGAAGAAAGGTTGAAAACATACAAATCATAATACTCTGTGCTCATTTTCAGCCCCATCTAAAAACCATTAGACACAGACAAGGCTTATGTTATGTCCTCATTTTAGGAAACTCAGGAAGTGATATGGAACACACGATTTCATATTGTTCTAGAACTAGTCAAAAACTTTGTGAATGCACTGCCCCAGGCTCCATTCTAAGTGGTCCATAAAGAAAAGAAATGAAAAGATTACCTGTCTTTTTAACCTCTTATCCTTCTGCCCACCTTTTCAGGTAAATGGCTGAATGAAGGATAGTGGTGAGAAGCAAGATTTAAAGTATATATTTAGTGTGAAAGGGAGGGCAAGAAAGAGATAAAATAAATGAGTGAATGAAGGGCCACAGAGAGACAAAAAGGAGGGAAGAGGGGGGGAATGATGGAAAGAAAATATGTGACTAGTCTTTCTAGGCAAATAATGATTTACAATTTAAGAAGAATAATTGTTGAATTTATGTACTCACAATAAGCACGATAAGATTATCTTTAAAATTCCAATATACATATTCTATCCAATCACTTATGTTACACTTCAATCAGTAACTAAATCACAATTTTAGTTTCTATGGCAATTAATTACCTAGTTAGTGGGTACTCACAGAAACGTATAACCAGAAATACATGTTTAATTCCAAGTAAAATATATGCTAAGCATACACTCCTAATGAAAAAAAAAATCAAGAAAATTAAGTCAGGTCCACTCTTGGTTACCTCCAAGTGTTCAAATGTGAGCTGATTCTAGAGGTGACCTAGTTTCATTGTTATGTACTTTAATCAGCAGAGAATGAGTAAAAGTAAGGCCACTACACTAACAACTTTCACTTCCTTCATATTTCATACATGGTTCAAACCATAAATTTGTTTGCCTCAATAAATATCAGCCTGTGCTCAGAAAACTAAAGATTTAGGAGCTCAGTTAGCATCCAGGTTCAGATCAATGGTGTTTTGTTTTGTTTTTTTCCTTGTCAGTCAGTACATAACCCATGCCTCAAAGCTATGAGTTTCTCTTAGTGTTAAGTTGGATAATGATTCATTTACTAATGGGGGGGTGGGGCTCATTTTTTGTTCTCAAGTACCCTGAAATCATCAGGCCTATATAAAGTGGCATCAATCAACAAACAGAAAGAGGATATATCAGTTCAGTGACTACAGGAGAAAGATGAAAGGGGCAGCTAGGTGGCACAGTGGATAGAGCACCAGCCCTGAAGTCAGGAGGACCTGAGTTCAAATCCGGCCTCAGACCAAACACCAAACACTTGACACTTACTAGCTGTGTAACCCTGGGGAAGTCACTTAACCCCAATTGCCTAAAAAAAAAAAAATTAAAAAAATTTATAAAAAAAAAGAGAAAGATGAGGAACCTCCAGTTAGTCAGCATATTTGTTGATTGCTAACTAGTTAGTATTCATTGTAGAAGGAGAAATTTTCAGAAAGCCACACCATGTAGAGCAAAGCATCACTGCCATGTATAACCTAAAGTCATTTTACTTGTGTTAGGACTACCTGCTTTCCAGGCTAAGTTATCAAGGTGATAAAATATCTCAGTATGATACAAACTGGAGTTCACAGAGAGAATTTTGAGATTTCAGTGGCCATTTCAATTCATTTCTACAAGGGAATTCCTGCTACAATATACCTGACAAATGGACAAGCAGCTTTTGCCTGAAGCCCAA